TTCTTTTTACATGAGAACGGATTAATCATTTTTACATTACTTCTTATGGGAATGGTTGGTTTGGTATACGTCCTATTCGGTATAAGTCCAAACACTTGGAACGGATTAAGGTCATATACCGAGGTTCCACTGTATATCAAATTATTAGCAATATGTTGCTCCCGTGCATCATACCTTTCCTGTTAGTAACGGAGTCGTGCCGGTCATCTAACTTATTTCAGGAGAAAATTTTGAATCGAAATAATGTGATTTCTGGTTTGTATCAGAAGTTCATATACAGTTAATTGGGCCTCCTGCCCCTTAGCTTTACATAGCTGATCTTGAATTTCATTTATCTAATACCGTTCTCGAGATTAAAGAAAGACTGGGAGACGAACGATGGACGGACAGATAGTTAACAGTGGGAATTTATAGGAAGAGTAAGCTACACAATAAAAAAATGAAAATAAAATCTTGTTTGGAATCGTTCATTTATAAAAACTCTGTTGATCTGACAAGACAATCATAAATCTAAAATTAATCTATTCTAGTTTTTAAACAGTTAGTTTCATTATCCATCAACAGATGGCGTAACCTATCAACACCAGAGAAGCATCTAACCAACAATGGCAAACGTTTCGAAAGGGAATTAAAATTAAATTCAAAATTTAGTAACACCAAATCGTGAATCAAATATTTAATTTCAGTGATGAAAAAAATAACGAAAAATGCTTACAACTTTTATTTTTTAATTACAGGGTTAACGAAACTAGTATTTTACGGATTAATCAATCCATAAAATACTAGTTTTGTTAACCCTGTAATTAAAAAATAAAAGTTGCAAGCATTTTTCGTTAATCCTGTGAAAATCCGTATTTAAAATTTTTACAATTTTCAGTTTGTCTCAGTGATGTGACCTGCCAAAAAGTCATATAAGAAACGAATTTAAAATCTTCTGCCAAAAGTATACAGCTGTTTTTCTACTTTCGTGTTGCTAACGCGTACAAACTGAAGCTTAATTGGTCTGCAATTTGAAAAAATTGTAGCCCTATAAATTCCCACTGTCTGTCCGTCTGTCTTTTCTTAATCTTGAGAAAGTCATGTTATTTCAATTCGAAAATTTTCCCCGAAAGAGTTAAATAAATGACCCGCACGACTCGATTGCTAAAGGAAAAGTATGATGTACAGGGGCAAGACACTGCAATTTGAGGTGGAGTGCATATATTTAATATGTTAAGATGCTTACAATTTACATCGATCATTTTATATTTTACATACATCGATGAAAATAATGTGTAATTTCTATCCTACTTATCCTATATAATAATAGTTATACAAAATTAAAAATACAGGTATTATATTTCAATTTTTATAAATGAATGTAGATAACTGAAGAAGCTGAATCAAATTGCAGAATAAATCTGATATGTTAACATTTATACATTTCGCCTACACTATAGATGAGACAGTCTACAGTATTATTTAGTTTTCTGTAAAATCTTTAGTCTGTTTTTTACTATTGATTTACTTTTTCGTTATTGTTTTGTTTCATATTTTTAGACATTTTATGTTTGAATAATTTTTGTAAAATTTGCATTTGAAATGAAGTATTTGAATAAGATGACAATTTATTGTTTACAGTGGTTAGCTGCCTTTGGGCTACCCTATATATTTTTATTTATTTATTTACCTATAGACTATAAGTAGGCCTAATATACCGTAGTTACATATATATACTGTATAATTATAATCATATATCTTGGTACGGCATGGTCTTTATTGGCTTTCGTACAATAAAACTCCAACCAACTGCCAATCATTATTTAGATTTATTTGATATAATTAATTTATGAAAAATAATTAATGATATACCTAATTATTTATTTGGAGTTTTAGACTATGGTATTGTTATGTAGTTTTGATATATGAATAACACATGCTAGTCTTTTTGAGAATTTAGAAGCTGTTTATCAGAATTACGTTTAAAACTCTTACATCATTAAATGATAAAAGATATATTAAACGTTGTTATATTGATTTAAGATATGCACTTATTCAAGTTTGTATGTTTTTAAATTTCATTTATTTAGTTAAAACTTTAAAGAAATTTCGACTACGTGGCGCTACTAAGAGGCCTTTTACTCATCCCATCAGACTCACAATGGGAATAGCCGGGTGTTACTAAGCGAACAAAATAATTACAGTAAACCCTTAGTCCCTTACTAAGTCGAACTGCACTAACTCGAAACTGTCTACAGGTCCCTGGCACAATACACAAATGTTTCTAGATAATACGGTCTTATTAAGACGAAATTGTCGGTTCTTTTAACACGAATATTTTCACGTGTACCCTCCATCCTTTGATAGATCCGTGATCTCCATTCTCTTGTGTTCCGGGTGAATATAGATGATTAGGGTAAAAAAAAACCACTATGGATCCATACCAAACAATTATAGTCTCGAGTTGATATTCTTCTGCTGATACAATATGTTATCGGCGTTTTGATTGAGACACAAGGGCTGCCTCGATGAAGCATTCAAAAGCGCCATAAACTGTATACAACTTTGCAATCATTTTTGAACAGATTCTTGAGAAACGTCTTGATGACGGGCACAGAAAATTTTGAGAAAATCGGATATTAAACTCGTTAACACGAAACTCTTTAACATATTCGTTAACATTATAATTTTAGAACAGTTATCTTAGTTTTTCGGTCTAATAATTTTTTTATTCTACTATAAAATAAAATGTTATAATTAAAAAAGCAAAGTAGGCTACTCCCTAATGAGAAATGCTTAATGAGCTTCAAAGCTGTAACGGTTAATTTAAATGTTGATTCGGTAAATATTTGTCAAATCAGATAATTGTATATAGAACCTGGTTATTTTGAATATTCTAGATTGAAGAGTCGTTCCTGTCATAGCTCATAATAGATAAAATTAAATCGGTTATAAAGCCCATAATATGCTGAAAACTTTGCAACAAAAACGAAACTTTAAAATTTAATTTTTATTCCGTAAAATGTTTATGAGAATGCAGTAATTAAATAACATTGAAAAAACATACAATATTTTCTATTAGTTTAATTTAATTGATGTAAATCAATCTAAAATAATTCAATAAAAACATTAAATCATAATTTAGTCAAGTTCTTTAAACATGAAAATTGAAAAGGTAAGACTAGTTAATCAATTAATTCTTATCATTATCAATACATATTCAACCTTTCATAAATTCGTTTATAATGCATGTATATTAAATAAATTTAACTTTCTACATTTCTATTTTACTAATAAATTCATTTATAATTAAATCTATTCATTTCATTTTCTTAAAATTATTTACTTTATCTTATTTAATCATCGTTATATTCACGTGTAGTCTTATTTATTTATTTAACATTTTTAAAATTAAATATTCAATTAAATTAAAATTAATTTTAATTTTGATTTGTTTTTTTAATAGTGTTTAGTTATTTTATTAAACGTTCTGCTTTGATCAATATATTTTTGTAATTTCTAAACTTAGATAATGGTAAAATTGAATTATTTAATTATTTAGCATTTATTTTGAATAAATTATAGAGTAAATAAAATGGCTCATTCTGTGGACAAAATAATTTATTTTTATTTGTTTACAAAATCAGTCACCTCGTATATTCTAATAGAAAAGAATTTGACAAAATAATAAAAGAATAAATCATTTCTTCTCGGGTACGTTTTCTTTATTTTTATATCATTTTTTAATATTGATTTTTAATGTTTTCTTATTTACATTTGTGTAAGTTTACAGGTTTATCTTTAGTTTTCTTTTTAAAAGTCATTCAACTTTTCTTCCAAATTTCTATTATGATTAATAGACTAGAAGCTATATGACTAATTATTTTTATAGATCTTAATAATATTATAAGATGAAAAGATAACAACATAATTTATAATAGATGATATATACTATTCCAATTATTATGTATTCAGTCCTATTAATTTTAGACCTTTTTTTATAAATTGTTTTTAATGCTAAAAACTAATATACATGCCAATCATTCCAATTATAAGTATTATTTATATTTTATATCGTTAAAAGTTTTAAACTAGTATTTTTCAAAATTTAATTTAAGCCTTATAAATCTACCAATTTGGAATTGTAAATATATATATATAATATTTATAATATTAATATCAATTATATTTGTAATATATTTATAAAG